GGGAGCGGCGTTTTCGAGGTCCAAACGCCAGGGATCCGTTACGTTGCCGTGACCTTGTTGTTGTGGTTGTCGTTGTTGTTGTTGAGGAGGAGGGGGTTGGAATGATGACGTCGTGGCGCTGGTGGCAGTCGTAGTGGTAGACTGTACGCGAGCCTCCGATTGCGGAGGTCTCCCCGCAAGTCAGTCCCTCCCCCAATATCCAGCCCAGAAATACCCAAAGCAGGTGCCATGCTCCCCATCCGAGTGGCCACGTAGACGACATTGCTGAAAACCAGCCAGATAGCAGCATAATCCTTTACCTTAGTCGAAGATGCAAGCTCGGAACCAGTTCGCCGTATCCCCCACAGAGCATGACTCCATGGTTGAAGGCATGTTGTAGACTGAGTTCACTCCCTTCAAAGACACTTCAGCTTCGCTGTAGTAAATCCTCTGCGGATGTACAGAAGTGGCAGGTGGCGACTTGTCGCCTGTTGGACTAGTCGTGCCCCTGCAACAACTTGCCGAAACACGGTCGCAGCGATCATGTGGAAGCGTTCAAAAGCTCCTTCGGGACATTCCAGAATGTGTTCGACCTCTCGGCGAACCCTGTTTCGGTCCAGATTTGTGCGACAAAATGCACAAGTTTGCCTCTCGCCCTGCTGGTTAGCGCCTGCTTTGCAAGGCAGATAGCATCCAACCACTGCTGCATGAGCAGTTCTACCGATTCGAATCCAGGTCGAGTCATCGAAAGTTCTGACCCATGAGGGCAACGTCGGTCTGCGGCACTCTACTACATCACTGGCATGTTGCAAGTGGTATCATTACTTTCACATAACATCATAAACCCGACAGGCTAAAGAGACTGCCGCTGCAAAACTGTGCATGTACGTGTCAGGGATTGTACACATGTGACCTCCGTGCACATCGGCGTTCGATGTGCGGTTCAATCTCCAGGAACCCCATGTGCGGAAGAAGGGGCGATGCGAAGGCAAAGAGGAATCTAAAAGCAACTGCGGTAGGCGGAGCAGTGAAATGGCATTTCTTCCTCCTCTGGGCCCAGAGACTCCAAAACTGAAAGGCCTCCAGTCTTTTAAACGTGGCGAATTTTTGATGTTCATAGCAGGATTGCGTTTAGGCCTAAGACTACTAGAATACTCCTTAGAGCACCAACTCATGTTCCAAGGAAGTTTGCCTTCGATGGCATGATCACTGCGGCTTTCAGCTATCATTGCAACGTCTCCTTTGTGACACTATGATGGTGAGAACTACCATTTTAGCACCCTTCTACCAGAACCCTACAGAAACCCTTATGGATCCCTTTTAAGGAAAAGGGAGGTTCCTTCATAGGAGGTCCCAAAAGTCGGGAACATTGGAGCCCTGGGACTCGGTCCTCGGACGGCTGAGGTCCAGTCTGATTCGAAGACCTAGGGATTTTTGAGTCACATGGGTAGTTCTCTAAATTAGGGTCCCTTTTAGGGTCTTTTTTATAAGGGTGCCATACTATATTGGGGACCTAAAAAGGGACCCTAATTTTGAGAACTACCCACATGACACGGCGTGATGATGCATGGTGCATACATGTGTCTGTTGAGTTGTATGTGGTGTGCATATGTGTACAATTTCACTTGGTGCCTTGCTCTGACATGCAGTCGGCTATCCGGCTACACACAGCACGAGCACATCCTGCGCTATTGCAGAGCATGAGTGCTCAAGATTTGTCGACCCATGCCTCTGTCATTGTGTTTGTCTGTCTGAATGTCCACCTGAACCTGCGATCTCCACAACGAGTGCCACAGCTGAGAAGCCTCCCCGGCGCCGCTGCGACCCGTGAGCAACTGTCAAGAGATGACAGGATGAGACACGCTGACATGACGAGAGCAGGAGGCTTTTCGCTGCTGCTTTGAGTCCACTGTAGCTTCGAGGAAATTGAAGAGCCTGCGATGGAAAGCCTTGATGCTAGGGGTCAAAGCTCGGCGGTTCTTACCCCTGCTTTTGTTACTACCCTTGGGACGGAGGTTTCTGGTCAGAGGGGCCTCTTTGGGGGATACTGAAGCAAGAGGTGGCTCAGCTTTGTACAGTCACATGCAGTTTGTTCTGTGCTAAGACGTCGATGTCATTCGGAAGTCTTCCGGCTCATTGCAAATGCTTTTGCGAACCTTCGGCACGTGATGGCAGCAAACGTGCAAGAACCCTGCAGTCAATCGCCCCTGGCGTCCCCAAGAACTGAAACCACGGAGGTGAATCTCGCCTGCCAGGTCATGTTAGCATCGTCCTGGCATTGAGGACTGGTTTCGGGCAGGCCCCGAGGCTTTAGATGGGCTTGGGTTTCGCAATAAGGTTGCAGCAAGAGAAGCTGGGAGTCGGGAAGGTCGGTAGAGTTCGACGAAGCAACCGCAACGATCTGCAGCAGAGACAACTACGCCTCCGTGATGTTGAGGACTTCTAAAATCTCGGCAAGATTTTTCTGACACTGCAAGGTCGTACCAGCTTAACCTTGTCCCGAAACTTGAGCTGCTGTTAAAGGCGCTCAAGGTAATTACATTCCGTAGCCAAGGAATGCATTGTCGTCGCGCTCCTGGCCTGGACTATACAAGAGATGTTCTGCAGAAAGGGCGACGGAGACGAATAATTCTAATCCTGCCACACAGCCACAAAACCAAGAAGCGAACATTCAAACTTTTCCGTCGAAGCGAAATACCTGGCGTAAGCCCTCTTGCCCCGCTCCGTCGGCATGATGGTGAGGATATCCGTGAAGCAGAGCCCCTTACCCGGCTCCGGTGCCCTCAGCAGCAGGCTCCTACTTGATGCAAGGAATTATGTACTTACATAGGGCGGCTTAAAGGCCTCAGGGAGCAGTTGGAGGGTCAGAGCACTGTGCCCCTTTGCAAACTATCCAGGGCATGAGAGCGAAGCATCCAAAGTTGCCCACCATGAGGCCCTGATAAGAAACTCAATGCTTTCCAACTTCGAAAATGCAAGCTTTGGCCCAGTGGCCTCTCGCTCGTCTTGCGGGATGCAAAGGCATCACTGCCTGGACGTGGGACTCTATGCTTCATAGTTCAAGGCTTTGGGTTTTGGGGCTTTTGTGCCTTTGGACATACATGGCGTAATTAGTGCTCGGGGTGGTGCTGCGCGCGTACTGACAGTGTCAGGGGTTCAAGCAGGACGTCATCTGGAAATGGTTCGTGAAAGGCGGCCCAGAAACACCGGAAGTGTATGAACTTGGAGGCGTGAGGGGTCGTGCTGTCGCTGCAAACCATTTATGGTGGGATACAAGGCACTACCGGTTCGGTAGTGACTACCGAATCCGGTGGCGATAGGAAAACAAGAGACTTCAAGAACATGGCCGGATTGGGGAGGTGCAACAAAAAGCAATGCAGGACCCTGAAGTTCTGTGCCCAAGACTGCCTTCTGTCAGTGTCATGGTGTCCGACGCCAGGTCGTCTGCTGCCGGGTCTGTCTGCCCAACCTCGCTCCCCCAAAGACAGCATCAACAGTAGCCATGATGCAGAAGATGCAACGATCAAGCTTCAAAATTTACCTCGTTCAACTCTGAATCTCGAACAAGGCGAGGACAACAACAATCGCGAAGCAATTGCTGCCTCCTCCCTGGCTAGGGGCCAGGGTCGAAGGGGTCTGTTTTGAGCACTCTCGGACAAGCCAGACCAGATTCGGGCAGAGGGCACCAAGCACGAACCTTCATGAGGGTCAGACAGATAGAAGCTGAATCAAGCTGCCAGATGGCACATGGATTGCACACCAGGGCCGAGGCTGCAGCCGCAGTGACAACTAACTACAGCGACGAAGGTCATTTGTGAGACTGTTGAGTACGCGACAAGCATGAACCAGAAGAGCATTCAATGAGCAGAGGCCAGGGCGAGCTTGGCGAAGACCCGGCGGGCTGACTCTTCAATGTCCGCGAACTTGCCCTCCATCCGCATAAAGAACCTCGAAGCTTCTGGCGACACGATGGTCCGAGTCAGGGCCGCTCAATGGAGCGTAGCGGCGTAGGGGTTAGACTCGCCAGAACTCGAAACAAATGGAATCCTTAGCCTTTGTCTGAGAGATAGTGAATAGAATCTGGAGACAAGTTCTTGCTGCCCAGGCTTGCCCAGGTGTAAAGTCAAGCTTGATGCGAACACGATACTCCATCGCAAATCCATGCATGCAGCCGCATGACAAAGAAACCTCCGAAGTGTTGGACCCAGCGGCAGACATGAAATGGTCAAGGACGGAGGGTTTGGCGGCCTATGGGAAAGGGCTGGCCCCAACCCTGAAGCCTGCCGCACTGAGTAGTAGTCTCAGAAAGCCACTCGAAACCGTCACACCCTCGTGGATAAGGACCCGTTAGAGGTAACCCTGAACTCAGCAGCCAGGATACTAGCTCTAAGTATGACACCAGTAAGTGCCTATTACTACTATACGACTCACCCAATCTACGAACCTACTGCCAAAAATCATGTACGACCTGATCCACTACGAGATGCATTGTCGTAGAGGAGTTCTGCAGCGCTCGGAAAAGCTCCGGCGCACGGCTGACTTTCACCAACCAGGCCTGGGAATAAGATTCCTTGTGCTCTTGACATGATCTGCATCGCCACCGTCAGCATCATCGTTCTACCACCGAAACATCTTTAATCTTTCAGTCTGTCATCATGCCCCTTCCCGAGATTGTTGGGCTCCAAAGCGGCCACTAATCCATCGGCTTCGAACTCAGCCGAAACCGCACCTGACTAACAAGCCTAAACCCTACAGCTGGCCAAAAAACCTTGTGAATACTATGCTGTGGCCTCGAAATCCCGGCTCTCCCCCTTGGACTCATACTTCCAGGGAGATGCACAAACAAAGTCCGGCATGATACAGGGGTCGGGTTTTGGGCATAGGATAGGAACTAACAGGATAAGAGTAAGGAGCCCTATCAAGGAATGGTAATTGGTAACTATTCAGGCCTACTATGAAACGACCAAGCCTTGGCCGACGGCCCTGAGCTTCTTGCTGCAGGCGCTTGGGTGCGCAGGACGTTGGACGTTGACTGAAGCCGCGAGACGGTCACCTTCTGCCCTGCGGGAATGGCCTAAAGGGGCCTCTGTGTTGTGCCACAGTAGTTGTCGGGTTTGGGCTTGGGACGCCGTGGTCAGGCAACCATTGGGATGGTTTGGAACATATAGTTTGAAAAAGTGAATGGGGTTTGTCGTGCCCCGGATAAGAGTGATCTGAAAAGTGACGTGGGGCATTCGCAAAAGTGAAATGGCTACTCGAAAAAGTGATGTTGAAGTGATTCGAAAAACGATTGCAACGTGATTCCCCTGCATCGCGGCCAAGCAATTTGAAAAGTGATTTACTGATTTAAGGCTTGAAAAAGCGCTTTCAATTTGATTTTGGGGTTGCGCATTGGATCTCCTAGGATTTGCATACCATTTTCAAGGATTCATTAAGGCTTGCCTCAGAGACTCTACTGACTATAGTGGCTGTCGGGAGCCCTTGGAAAGGGGAAAACCTTTGGACAATTTAGTGTGCACCACCCCAACCACTGCTAAAATCGCTTGTGACACGCCATATCGCCTTGAAAACACTTGTGCAAGCCGCAAATCACTTTGGGGGGGGGGTCCAAGATCACCTGGAAATCGCTTTCGGGGGTCCCACATCACCCAAGATCAGTTTTCCAGTCTTTGCTGACCTAGCGACAAGCGATTTCAAACAGACTTAAGGCTTGACTTCCAAGTGTTCTGGGTCGGGTCCCGAAAATGCGATTTCCAAGTGATCCCGGGCCTCAAAAAGAAATTTGACAGTGATTTGGGACTTCCGAACGTGATTTCAAAGTGATTTTTGGCTTGCCAAAATGATTTCAGAGTGATTAGCGAGTTGCACATTGGATCTCCGAGGATTTGCATACCTTGAAAGGAGTCACTAAGGTGTGCTTCAGAGATAGTGGGTCTATTGAATCCGTGCTTGAGACGGAAACCTGCGTTCACCCCTGCTTCCGATCGCTTTGGTTTCACTTTTCGCCCGGCCAACGTTCACTTTTTTCCGTTTCCCAAATCACTGTCAAATCACTTGTTAACTTTTTTCAGGACACTTGAAATCAGCTTTTCGAGACCCGGGTTTTTGCGAGCATTTTTGCAAGTCACTTTGCATCAAAAAAATAGTGGGCATTTTCCAATGGTTGCCAGCAGTCCGACGTCCCAAGTTGGGGCGTTCAGGACTTCGTTCGAGCTACAGTGTGGTGCGTGCAGCACATCGTGGGATGCAGAGGAAGGAGAAGGAATTGCTGCACTCACAGGTTCTTCGGATGAAGCTACAGCTGTAAGCTGATCCCACTGACTCGATCTTGGTGGCCCTGGGTATCTGAAACCTTTAGCCATAGATTTGTCCATCGCCTTTGCCATAGGCTTTCCGAAGGTGTTCCGCCGTCAGCTTCTCAAAGGCGTGAGGGTCCTCTCGCATCACAGGTTGTAAGCTCACGCAGATTCACCCATCCGGTAGCTTCCAACTTGCCAAGCGCTCGAAGCAGGGACCGGATTGCATCTCAGGACGCTCCATTTGCCAAACAGCTGACACCATCGCCTGGAGCAGTGGCAGCACAGGCGTCTGCTGCAGCGTCTGGGTCAGCTCCTTGGGCTGCTCCTGACTTTTCTTCTCCGACATGAGCGGTTTGGAACACGGGCCGAAATTCTCTTGAAAGGAATCGCTGAATCACGATGCGGCACCGGTGCAGATTCAGTCAGAGCTGCATCAGCTATATCACCAGCAGGTGCTCACTTCCGTTTCATTTCCCTCATCTGCCCACCAGCAGCCTCATGCACCAAGAAATTCCAAAATGCTCGAGCAGGCTAACCGAGCTCCCCCAAAGCCCTTAAAGCAATCAGTTTGCCCACCCTCTCATTGTTGGCTGCGGCTTCAAACTGACTAGTTCGCTGGCCACAGTGCCACGAGACTGACATGGCGACAACTCTTGCTTTTCTTTTCCGTCTTATGCGGCTCTTCGTCTGCGATGCAGGCACCACACATGCTCTTCCCGTGCGCCACGACGGTTTCATAACTTACTTTGATGCCCTCCTCGAGCTATCGTCCTGCCCGAAAGCCGGAATCCTGAGGCCAAGACCTAAACACAGGTGCGGCCGATAAATGGGAAGCAGTGCCGCCAAACATGTAATTTAGTGGTGGTTCTTGTCCTTAGCCGTTTTCGTCGATTTCCAGACTCGTGGCTGGTGACTGGTGACTGGTGACTACCGCGATATGACATGATTCATGCGAGTGGAGTTCCAAGATCATTCTGTGGCTGCTGCCGACGTCCTCGAGGCAAGCAAAGTCTGCAACGCGCTCCAGGGCAGCGAGCTCGAAGGCATTAACCTCGCAGCTTGCCGGGTCCCCTTTTACGGGTTTAAACACCGCCCACATTACAGAGTCAGAGCATGTTGAAGATGGAGACGCTCAAGATGTCACTTGTCAGCGCAGGTAAAGTTCTGTCTTTGATTCGATATAGACGCTATTCTCGCAAGGCCTGTTGCAATTAGCAGACAACCGAAACAAATAACTAAACACTCTACGGCTACACGTGCTCATCTTTGATGGGGACTAGCAGCAACAGAGGACAAGACGAGTATTTTCTTGCGGAACTAGCAGAAACTGAACCAAGGACATGTAAGAATAATTATACTATTATACTATAATGAAAGCCCCTAAACCCTAGAAGCTTAAAAACCACTAAGCACGTCTAAACCCACACTGTAGAATCAAAAAGTACCCAGCCAGAAATCGTGAGACGTGCAAACCACAGAACGTCAGAACCTTGAGAAAAATGGCTTTGCTCGCATCCTGCAGGTGAACAAATGAACGAAGTCGCTACGGGGCATGAAGAGCGTGTATAAGCATGTGCGAGTATGCATTTTGTGTCTGTGTGTGTGTGTATGTATATACACAGAAATGTGTATATTTATGCGTGTGTATGTATGTTTCGCCATCATGTTCATGTTCATGGGGCTCCCTACGCGTGCAGCCTCCCACAGTGTGCTGCAAAGATTTTTTGCGTGCTGCCTCAGCAGAGCGCAGAAAGCTGAGGTGGAATGCAATGTTTTGATCAAGCCCAAATTCTGCTAAGCCTTTAAAAAACACTGAGCATTCATCAAGAACATGCGTGCTGCGTCGGTTTGAATACATGCGTGCTGCCTCAACTTCTCCTTGGATCGAAAGGTGGAGCGCAAATCATTGTAATTAGCGCGAAAGTCGAGGCAGCATGCTCAGGGAGGCCTTTGACAGACGGTGTATGTTATGAACATATATGCAGCATATGTATGTATGTATGTCTCTCTCTCTCTCTCTCTATATATATATATATGATCCCGGTTCGGCCGGACCCCCCCTCCCCCAATGGTTGGTATCCCTTCCCCCGTGGTGCGGTGTGGTTCGGGATTTGGGTCTGCTTGGAGTCACGCCCCCCTGTGGTGTGGTGCGGTTCGGGGTTTGGGTCTGCTCTCAGTCCCTCTGCCCCCCTGTGGTGTGGTGTGGTGTGGTTAGCAGTTTGGCGCCCTGGGTGTTAACGAAATCGTCATCATCATCATCATCACCAACATTATCATGATCATGATCATGATCATCATTGATCATCATTATCATCATCATCATCGCCATCGTCATCGTCATCGTCAGCATCATCATCATTCTCCTCATCCTCATTTTCATCATCCCCATTGTCATCGTCATCATCATGACTCATCTTCATTTCTTGGGTCAACTGCCACAGGAAGCGGGTCTGACAGGACGCGATCCTGGTGACAGTTGCATTTCAATACCCTCATGGCAGAGTCCACAGCGTCCGCTGTCACAAGGATCAGGTGTGTTGGGGACGATATTCTCGAGATAGCTGATGGTTTTGGGGCCGCCATGTGGGAGAAGCGGGCAGAGTCACAGGGATTCGGCATATGTGGACCTGGGCGTGCCCGGGGGGGGGAGGTCGAGGACAGGGATCATAGATATGTACATGTGTATGTGTGTGTGAGAGAACAGATGAAACGGTCTTGCAGCATTGCATAAAAGATAGTATTGACATGCTGGCGGAAGTTAATGTGCGTATATGCTTATATCGAACACATGTACAATGGCTACCTTATACATTCTGAATTCATGCACGCCTTTGTCTTTGACTGCACATGCATTTTCAAACCATTCCTGCTGTCGTGCGTTAGACTCAAGCCGGAAAGATTCGTCAATGCTCATGGGGGGCTTCGGGCCAACAAAATCCTGAACCTTGTGTTACAAAAGAATTTGCAGCCATGATGCAAGGACGTCTGACTCGAAGTTTAAGGCCAACTTGCTGCGCAGGAAGGAGAACTCTAAGATCTTCTTGAGAGCATTGCCTGAGGCTTTCATGGGAGTATTTATTCTTGCCTTTTCGGCATTAACTCGCGGACTAGCCGACTAGCCACACCAAGTTCCACATGTCTCTCTGCAAACGACGCACAGCTACCGTAACACCGAATTTTCAGAGACACCGAACGACCCTGGCTCCGAGTGAGACAGTTCGATGTTCGACGGAATATTCAATCAATCATTAACAACGACGACAGGGGCACCAGTAAATAGCGACGACAAGCATGGCAGCAGCATGATTGCTTCTTGGAAATGACAGTGGTACGTGCTGGTTCTTGCTCACGGTCTCTGCCAGGTCGCAGAACAAAAGGAGCAGGATGCAAACACACGGTCGGGCCAGAAGGATCCGTGTCTCCTACAAGGGCATTGGGGTTCAGGATTTCCAGGGGTGTACGATCAGGATCGGGTGCGGTGCCCGGCAAAGGGAGGACTTTGGGATGTCAAGCTTGGCCTTTAAAGGCTAGGATCTGGAATGACTGAAGCTTATAGGCTCCCCATGCAGCTATTCCTACTATGCCAAAATCACGACCGCCGAGGTCGCTCCGGCTATAAATACTCATTTAAGACGGATGAAGTTCATATTACTATTGCGCCAATCACCGCTCCAACTGCGCACTGCAACTAGTGTAATCTTCAGGTCCGGTGTTGATTGTGCCAACTGCAGTACATTCGCCCTCAGATATCGGATTGACCGATGCCGGAGGTAGACCCAACGCTTGGCAGCTGTAAGGTTGCAGGTGCCAAGCTGAACATGCTGACGCTGCAAGAAACATCAAGCGAAATAAATATGGGAAGATATGAAATCCGTATTAAACACACTTGTATGAAACTCTTTAGTATGACATGACAATGTCGGAACCACATCTTCGACATGGTTACCATATATGTGTCGTCATATCCCTGGTCTGCAACCATGTTTTCGAGCTGGTCGCAACGATTACAGCCAAACCACATTCTTTCCCACAGTTCTTCTTGAGGGTTGCTCGGGGGAACCATAACTGCGACAACAGCAGCATGAATCCTGTGGCGGACTCCACCACGAGAAGTTCACCGCCCAAGCGCAGATCACGGAGCAAGCTGCGCGCTCCTCCTTGAAGAGAATTCCATTCCTGGGGTCTTGAACGGAAAGGTTTAGGGTTTCGGCGCTTGCACTCGGACAATCCAGGCGAGGCATGTGGTCTTAAGTCGGCTGATGTGAAACTGAATTTGACTACTAGAAGCGGAACAAAGAGCCTAGACAGTAGTACAACAACCTGCTAAGCGGGGACGGTCCCTCTCCCACCAGCGCAAATCCTGTGACTCAAGAACTTACCCAGTTCAGGACATTGGGGCAACATCTACACTGGATCACTCTCAAGGGGGTCGGGTGGAGTGAGGGTGCGATCAAACCTTAGTAGAGCCGGAAGATTAGGCTGGGCCTATAAGAGGCTGGACGCCCCAGGTACTAGAGCCCATTTTGGACTCCTAAGTTCATTACGCCCGAGACCAAGCTTGCTCGCCAAAGCAGTCAACACAGTTGGAGGAGGCTAAGGGGCCAGATATGCAGTAGAGGGTTTAGACTCCCGCAACTCGGGCAATGCAGGCGAGGTTGGTCCATGGATCGCAGGGGAGGCAGGGTCTAGGGTTAGGCTGTGCTGGAAGCATTTGGAAGGCTCCGAGCTTGTATAGGTCAAGCCAGGGCTCAGATAGAGAACCATCTCTGCCTTTCCCAGCTCTTTCGAGTGTCGGGCATTGGCTTCGCTGTTCTTTTCACGATTATCAGAAGTGAGGAGCCGGGTTTAACAAGCATCCTCTGGTTTTCGGAACTCTGCATCGGCCAAAGACCAAAGACCAGCAGGTACCCATCCCTCAGAAAGCCATCAGACCCATCTCCGCCTTTCGCAAGCCTCTTCGCCGCGCAAAGCGCAAAGCAACCATGGTAAGGACTTGGAAGAAAAAGCCGAGAATGAGATAGCCTGGGAGCTTCAGTGAAGCCAAAGACTTTAAGTTTCGGCTATTGCGATGTGTAATGTGTTTAGGCTTAAACAAGCTTGAAGAACTACGAAGTTAATTTCTCTATATCTGCACGCGTGACGAGGCTGAAACAGGTAGGGCAGGTTTGGGAAAGTGATACGTTCCACTGTTCCATACTAGATGATCAGTGTTTGTACCGTGCCGTAGAAGGGCTACTACACGAAGTGCTGCTGATCATGATGCTCTTGCACATCACCGAGCCAGTCGCGTAGAAACTGCACAGCACACGGTCTGAAGACGCCAGGCGGTGGCATTCTGATATTTTCCCCAAGTGGCTGAGACTCGCAGCGGACGCATGTGTCAGAAGAGTCCGAGCTTGCCTTCGTCTACGGTTCAAAGTGCAGTTTCTAGACTCAGCCTTTTAGATGCTGATGAGTATTCTCAGGTCATGTTACCTTCATCACTGACATTCTACTTCTCCAGGGGAGTTGTTGCTAAAGGGCTATGTGGGTTCTTACACGCTTCTTGCTCTTCGGTGGCTTTCAACGACATCTTCCGCAGAGGCTCCCCAGCTCTGGCATACAACTAGCACACGAAGAAGGGAGTCTGACTCGGGCTACTGCAGAATGCGCGTTTCCTCGAGTCTGTTAGCGTCGATACGCCGCTCATTTACTGAATCTCAAGCACGAGCTTCGAATGTCCCAAACCAAACCACTATGAACCTGCCAGGTGTAGTCACACAAACGACATCTCCGAAGCCTTCCAAAAAGCTATCATACATCATTGTCACCATGATGGTCTGCAACACCACGGTCACTGCCAACGACACTCGGGACCCAGCACTGAGAGGTGTTTATGCTCTATAGGTGTAATTAGTTTGCCGCGCACATGTATTCGGAACTTTCGCAAGCCTAACTGTGCAGCGAAGCCTTCACCGTTAGCATGTGTCTGCCGGAAATTTGCGTTGTCGGCTTTTGAAGCCATGGCATTCCTCATGTTTAACGTTTGCTTGCGCAGTGCGGGTATGGCTGCCAACCTTGGCACACCAGGCATATAATCTACTATAATATACTACAATATACTATAGATATACTATAGATATACTATAGATATACTATAGATATACTATAGTCTACTATAATGTGTAGCAGTAGCAGTAGCAGTAGCAGCGGCAGGAGCAGTAATCGGCTTCTGCTGGGAAGGCTCTCCGAGCACATGGCCGAAAACCACCCGAACTCAAGTCCACTCAAGCGCCGCAAATTTAAAATCCAAACCTTAAAGGCCCTGCTTACACTTATCCCCAAAACTCCCTGAATCCACAAACCCCAAAGACGAGCTGCTCATGTGGCGTTATGTGATGGAAGCGCCCGTTCTTCATCCGCTTCGGCTCCGCTGTCAGCGTGAAGAGCTGGGCCCAAGTTCGGGGTTCAGGATGAGAATGAATCGCATCATGACCCTTTCACAGGAACCACAAGTTAAGTGCAGCCGCCATTTTTGGTGCTAGGGCTCCTCCTTAAAGACTTGAAGGTTAAGCTTGGATCAGTGCAGCCATTTCGGCCAGGTTGTTGCCGCTTCTGGTAATGACAAGACTGCAGTGATCATGGGCTTGTGCATTGTCCTGCTGATCATGTGTACTCTTCGTGCATCCATGTTTAGATTTTGATCTCCTGCCTTCTGTCGCCTCTTTTTCTGCGTGTAATGGCTCATCCCTGGGGTCTAAAGGCGGCTAAGGCAGGCACTGACAGCAACAGCGACGACAACAATGGCAAAAACAAGAACACCGCCGCCACCACCACCACCACCACCAACAACAGCAACAACATCAGCCGCAGCAGCAGCAGCAGCAGCCGCCGCAGCAGCAGCAGCAACCAAGACCTCGGGCACCAGCACCAGCACAACCATCAACAAGAACCACAACCACAAGCACAGCCAGGACGACGACGACAATACCAAAGAACAACCAGCAAGTAACCAGCAGCCAGCAACCACCAACAACCGCAAGAACAGCAACTGTGACCGTCATCGTGGCAACGGCCATCATCCATCCCAATCGTCATCATCACCCTCACCGTCATCTAGGAAGCCAGCAGGCGAGAAAGGGGCCAAGGAGAATCACGGTCTTGACAATCCTGCAGGTTGTGGGCGGCAAGGCGCTTCAGAGGTCACGGGCCCCTGCCTTCTTACGCTCAAAGCGCTTCAGAGTGCACGGGGGCTAGATCATTCCACTAGACAGGCGGGGCTGGTCAAAGTCTCTTGTGCTTCAAGTAACAGAGCTGCGTGTTCTGCGCATGTCGTGTTGTGGCAGAGACCAAACCGGTCTTGCCGCTCTGGATCAGGGAGGGACATCAAACGCTCCCTTTGTAGTAGCTGTCCTCCAGGGTCGGATGGCAGCCTGTGCAGCTGCCTGCAGGCCGTCCCAAGATAAGTCATCGTCGATGTGTTCCAAGTATTCGAACCTCGGCCGAGCCCGTGGCGAAGGCAATATGGGGCAGGAGTCAGAAGGGTAGAATCCGAGGGCTTGGGCAGTTCCCAACAAGCCGAGGTCTCACGTTTCGTGCTGCACGCGACCAATGGTGACCCAACTCCCTCACACAGGCGACTTAGTCGCAGCCTGTACTTTTGAAAGCTGTAAATGACATGTGCTAACCTCCTTGGAGTGCAGCCTGTGAAACATATTAAATTCGCAAGGTCACCAAAACTGTTGAAAAGCAAAAAGCATGCTATGTTGGCACATGCTTGCGGTGCCATTGTTACTGCCATAGACGCACAAAGTGCCAAATCTGGACAGGGCATTGAGAAAACTCATGCTGCTGTATATCGGAGAATGATTCAATGAACGTTGCGTCGTGGAATTTGTAGGAAAGCAAGGTTAACTGGCATTCTGAATGGCGTGCGCATTGGCTTCGGATGTTGTCGGCAGCAGACCGTTGCAGCCGAGACTTCCAGGCCTCTTCAGACATACTCTTGCACATAGCCTCCACTGCCATCTACCAAGGATGCCACAAGCTCACAAGGCTCTCGTTCCCCCTCAAGGAGTGCCTGCAGCAAGAAAGCCGGGAGCGACTGCTGTCGAGCGAAGTCGACAGCGGACCAGCCACGCTTGGTCCGAAGATCAAGCTGGGCCCTTGCTGCAATTAACACTGCGGCACCATCATGCTGGCCTGCCATGATGGCAGACATTAGAGGGGTCCTGCCCTCCCAATGGAAACACGTAACCGTGAGTGGCGTGACTCTGCCGAGTCGATGCTGAAGAGACATGATACCTACAACCATCCCCAAGCCGCTCGACAAGGGCGAAACGGCCTGCCTCTGTGTGTTCACATCTGCCCTTAGCGCAATCAACCGCTGTGCCAAGGCTGCATGCCCTCGGAGGATCAGGCTGTCATCAAGGGCGCGAGACAGAGTCAATGGGTCCAGAGCCTCTGTCCGACATGCCAGCTCTTCGAAGGCTGCTAAAGAGCCAAACATGCAGGCGATACTAATCATGCTGTTCCCAAATCTGTCCCTGGCAAGCGGACTGCAGCCGGCCTCGCAGAGCATTCGAACGCCCTCCGCATTGTCGCCCATGCATGCAGAGGCCAGCCCCCATCTGCTGTGAGGCGATGCTTTCGCCTGCATAAGTACACGACCTGCCTCGTTGTTACGATGCGCAAGGCAAAGATCCAGAGCTTCAACTCCTGCCACCGTGGTTCCGTGGTTGGGGTTGGCCTTTCTGGTCTTGCAACTCGGATCAGCTCGCTGCTCGAGGAGGCCTTGGATCAAGAGCGGCTCGCCGCGAAGGGCCGCATAGTGCAGAGGCGACCATCCACTACCGTCGATGTCGGAGATGGTCTCGAAGCCATTCTGAAACAAAAACTCGGCGACCGCATGGGATGCCGGGTCCAGGCTGCTGGGTTCAGCCCCTTCGTCTTGAAACAGGCAGTACTTGGGCAGTACCTTGAATCCTCTGAGCAGAACCGGTTGAAGGTTCAACAACACTCGGTAACCACCTAGATCACGTGCCCGCAGCAGCATCAGCAACTTTCCGTGCAATGCCTTCTGGAGAACTGGGCCCAACTTGATTTTGTCAGACTCCAGGGTGAAATCGCATTCACCCGGGCTTCGGGCCATGGAGCCGTAGTGCATGACAGAAGAAACGACGGTTATTTGCGTCTGGCTTTTGATCACGATGAGGGGCGCCTCTTCCGAAAGCTCCCGGCAAAGTCTCTCCACGAGACACCATCCTCTCTGAGCCCAAGATACTTCTGTAAAGACTGCACCCAGGTCTGTGTTTTCAATCACCGGAGCAAGGACAAAGAAAAAAGCACACCTGAGCATGCTTCGCAACTGACTAGGGCTAGGGTCTCTTCCTGAGATTCCTGGTGACTCTACAGATCTTGGTTGCCTGTAACGGGGGCCTCGACTACCATTTATCATGACCCTCCCACCTGGCAACGTATGCGGGGATGGAGTCGACAGCCTTGTGGAAGCTTTCGCTCTTTTCCAGCTGCGGGCAAGAGAAATAGTCGTACCAGAAGAAGAGAGGCTCGGAATTCAGCCCAGAAGAAGGCATTCCTGGAAGTCAGCGCTCAGTCAGCTTGGCGAGTTTGTGTGCGAGCTGATGATTATGGTTGGGGTGATCCTACGGTGCATTACGTCAGACGTCTACTCAGTCGTCGTCATAACTTGAACAACTGCATGGTCAGCAACAGGTTGTCACAACACAATCGTTCGTCGTTCCACCTCTGCTACTTATTATTGAACCAAAGCCTTAAGAAGGCAATGCCGGGGGGCTGGGCTGTGAGGTGACCCTCTCTCGCTCGCTCCCATACAAATCCTGTGTATCTTCGCTCTTCGCCTCGAAAACGTAAGAGAACCGATGGCTGTGATATCGAAACCTCTCATAGATGGTTATTGAGTGCGTATGACGTGCATCGTGTTTGTTGGGAAGTTATTGTGGTCACACCAAACATATTTTCTACGCTCGTTAGGTTAGTCCGAGCATAAGCTGCATGAGCAGTTCGTGTGGCGTTCGTAGCAGTTTCAAACCAGGCTATGAGCGGCAATGCCATTGCCGTCAGAATTTCTGGCTTACGAGAACCGCATATCACGCGTAGTACTCAGTGATCTCAATGATTCCGGCGTGACCGCAGCACTTGCAATCTTCGTAATACTCCGGGATCCAAGACAGCTCCCAACAGCCCTCTGGTTCAATGGATCCCTGCGATAGAAATTCAATCGAAGGGTTCCAAGATCCTAGAATGCCGCAGACTTCCCCGCTTCACGCCGATTCAAGTCTAGCCGGTCAGGGATCCAAGAGTGTTTCGAAAGACCTCTGGTAAAACCTTGAATCTTGGATCCCTCCTCACAATCCTCAATCTTTTCAATCAGGTTGATTGGGCGATGGGTTGCCCAAACTGCAAAGAGTCTACTAGCTCATGTGTATCCGGATCTACACAACTAAAGCTGTTTGACAAATTTTGCGTGGGTGCCGCGCACTTGCACTTGCAGAGTTCTGCTCTCAAAACAAACCACCTGCTCCCGGGCACTTACGACCACCACTGGAATGACATAAGCATGACAACCCTTTTCCAAATTTCAACGTTCCACGGCCGGCAGATTTGAATTCCACGACTGGCAGATTTGAGCAGCATGCAAAGTTCGAGGCTGAAGCTAAGGCTGCTGTGCAAGCTCACGAGCCTGCGATACTGTACTTTGCAGTGTCGGTCTTCTCGAGCTTTTTGAGCATCCCCATTGGCTTTTGTACATGTGCTGAACATACTATGAGTTATCCGAAAGCCAGGATTGGTTGCAGTTTGAAGATGTGATGCGGGAAGAACAGTTCTGGCACTTGGGTAATCTTGTACAACAGTCGAGAAACATCAATCTTATGGACCCACAAGCCCTACGCCCTTAAAGCCTAAACCTCTAAATCCCTACATCCCCGAGACCTTAAACCCTAAACCTAAACCCTACCGTAAAACCCCCAAAACAATCCTCTGCAACTTAAAGATTGGACCAAGCGTCCATGGCCAGGTCTTAGCATCTCGGCGTGAGCATCTTGATAGAGGTATGGCATCTCGGTCATCATGTGCCTTCCCAGGGGTAATATAGGGGGCCTTAATAATTAGAATAGGGTTTTGAGGTGTATTATACTATTAGATGTAATAAGGAACACCCCAAAATAGTATTGATAAGTATTTAGGCCCTTATATTAGGCTTCCGAGTTCAATTTCGGCTCCCGCAACTCGCACGAGGCAGGCAAGGGTAGGCGCTCAACTCGGCGCTTGCAGTTTTTCCCCCTCTCGCATGGAGAGGATCAATGCCTAGAAGCTTAACTACCTACGGTTTAACATTTTGGGCCAAATTTTGGGTGTAGGGTTTAGCAATGCTTGAGGGAGGCTCAGGGTTTCGACTTTCGAGTTTGTCCAGAAGGACCCTAATTCACAAATCGTGTCCAAAGGTAATACATACCGCTAGATAACGTGTCTCTAGATCCTGAAGGCAAGCCCTCACTTCCTCGAAATCGAAACCTTCCATTCTGAAAGCCGTACTTGTTACTCTCAGCTAGGTGGAAACCCGTGTCTGTCGTGCCCGTGGCTGCAAAATCTTGAGCCTTTGGAGAACGCCAGCTCCCCAAACACCCCCGATCATCGAGCTCCAGCTATCCTGCCTCAAAGCGTCCTGTAGCACTGACATCTGCCTGAACTCTGGGTCCGGATGACTTGCTGCCACCCACTGGTGCGAGATGAAAGCAGCCTTCCCCATGCTCCTCTCGAATAGGACCAACGCGCCCTTCTCCTTCCAGACTCAGAACAGCAACTGTTCACAAGTAACGCGTCACAAGTACCTTCAAACCGTACCCCAGCTGTCGGGGTGATAACGCCCTCAGATCCTTGCATAGCAGAGATGCACTCCTACAGTATGCCCTGATCCCCTGGCCCCTTGAAACTGCGACACCGAGACCCCGCCGACCTTGAGCTCTTCGTGGGAACAAAGCTTGGTCATCCGCAGCAAGGCTTCCGTAGGCAAGGTGTACATCGGGAACAACGTCGTAGATGCATCTGCCAGCCGACATACCAAGAACGGAAAATAACTACCGCATGACTGCCCACGTCTAGGCATGCTGCTACTACCACCACCATTTTATCTACCATCACTGCCACCGCTACAGTACCTCAACCGCAACCGTGAGAGCTTTCCCGCCGCCTTCATGAGGTTCTTGTTGCAGCCGCTTCACAAACTGCTCCAGTGAGCAGGGGGATCTCCGAGGTCGACAAAGGGAAGCCATGCTCTCTAAGGGGAGCTGACAACACTTGGACCATGGTGTCTTGCCCAAAACGCAGTCCAAAGCAGAAGTGGGGGGTCATGCCTTGGGAAGGCTGGGAGCTCCCTTCGCACCGAGACTTAGCCCTAAGGGTCCAAAGGACCCAATAATTAGGTACTTCGGTTTCGCATAGTAGCTATGTAGGCTACTATTTGGGAGAGTATATGATTGTTAGGTACTTGGACCCTTAGGGTAGATGCACTAGATAAGGGTCGCCAAATCACGAAAGGAACGAGATTGAAAAGGGAACAAGGCAACAGGAACTTCAGGCTTAGACATCGAGCTTGATCTTCCCAGGCCGACGGCCAACTGTCAGAGTCCATCGGATGCTTCAGGGGTTTGAACTCCCTGTACTGTACCTTCCTTCAGTACCAACAACCCTATCAAACCACGCTCATGCACAAGGAACTGGCTGCTCTTCAATGAGCCTCCACATTTCTGACATAACCGTCAGCCGTCCAAGCGGCTTAATCATATGGCTAAAGTCCAACCCCTAACAAGCCGAGGTCTCCTTAAGATAAAAATCTGAGGGCTTTGGGATACACGACCAAAGAAGGCGGAGGCATCCGTAACCCCGTAAATCCCTAAGCCGCATCGGCTCACAGACCGAACCTGGAACAAAGCTCTTGTATGAGTACACTCAGCTGGCAAAACTCCCGCTGCTTCTGATATACTGCTCGCACGATCGCTAGATTGTGTTCGTTTTGCTTGAAACTGCGGTCGTTTCACCGGTAGGCCCCATACGAGTGCACAAACGTTCTGTCGCTGCCGGAAACGTCTGAGGCTTCCACATGGAGGCCACTCTCTGCGCCTCCTCGAAATCGCGCCTGGAAATGGGAGGTTCCCAAGTGCCCCAGACATGTCCAGGATTCCTCGGGGGCAGACGACTGCATGGCCTTGATGGGGCCCAAAAAGAAGCAAGTTTTAGCTTGCGGGCTAGGGTGGAGGCACTGGCCCATGAATCCGACAGGTTGGAGCCGCATGCTTGCCCTTATAAGACAAGCTTCCATGAGCCTGAAGCTCAAGCCCGAAGTGCCGAAAACAGCGGAGCACTCCCCGAAGTCCCTAACTCCCTAGGACTTCACGGCAGAGACCGCTTTGACTTGTAGTCGGGTCGGACCCGAAACATAAAAACTAATGCCACAATGAGCCAAAACAAAGCCGTAAAGAAAGACTGCCACCAGCAGAGACGAAGCACTTGATCTGCTGCCGGGGTTGGACATATTGCGAAGCACGGATGCCTCCTCTGCGGATGAGCACGGAAGGATTCACTTGAACACTAAACAAACCCAATACTGCTGGTATGATGTCTCAAGCGGGTCCAGTTCTTCCGACCCCAAACGGAGACACCGCTATGTTAGGGTAGGAACGAGAAAAGAGGAAGGGAGGGGAAGCCAACGAAGGAACCCCGGCCCTAAACGCAGTGCGAACTTCAAGTGCGCACCTATTCATGCTTGAGCCAAACGTTGTAACAAGGCTCTTGACGCACTATCACACAGCAACAGATCTACTGCTGTACACTGCTTTACAACAAAAGAAGAGGGGAAGCATAATTTTCCAACTAGTCCGCATGAAAAAGCAAAAAGGCTTGGGATGGAGGGGAAGCTGCGAAGCAGGCACTCCGAGTCGAAGCTGGTGATGGACCACCGTCGTTCGGGTTGCTACTCAGCCATCCTACTATAAGGGTTAATTATTAGTATAGGGCGTATGTATGTTGAGGGGTTCTTATAAATATGAGTACATTTCGTCTTCCTGAGTGCTACAGTAACTGCAGCAGAAGCTACGAGGTTCCCGTTGGTGATTGCTGCTGGCAATGGCTTCGGCTTTGGAGTTTAGGGGATTTTTTTCCCTCTCGCATGGCTAAGGATCTATGCCCACAAGCGAGGATTCATTGAGGAATTGACTAACTAAGATGGAGTGTGTTTTGAGAGGGACTTGTGAACCATGGGTTGTGACTCGTGGATCCTGATGATCGTGGTGACTTGAAGCAGCTCCTTGGCGTCAGTAAAAAACCCCAAAAACCAGAAAAACACTCTGCTGCCACACAGGATGCTTCCAGCCACTCACCTCACTCTGCTCTCCATCACCCCGCCGATCACAATGCTGAGCTTGCTTTGGTTACTTGAGGTTGCCTTGGGTTTTGAAGGATTTTAAGCGGATGAAGCTCTTTAAGACTAAGTTTCCTACTTTGTCAAATACTATTCACTTTCCGCTTTCTGTCTTGACCGCATAATCTAAAAGTAATC